AAAAACAACAAACCAGCACTCACTGCTAGTTTGGAGCAGTTCGGAGCTCAGACACACTCCTGGATTTCTAACAAATGCAACTATGAACCTTTATTCACAAACAGCCCTCTGGTTTCCACACTTGGCATCACACCTCAGCATGGAGGCGTAGGGCTTGAAACCCTTTATCTGGCAACTGATGCTGCAGCATCCATCATGAACCCAGGCTGACAAATGCCTATGAAAGAGAGATATTTGTTTCTTCATAAACTTCCTATGAAATCCTTAGTGGAGTTGAAAATCCATCTTTATCCCCAAAGGACCTTACAGCAAACCTAAATCTTCAAGTCCACCATCAATGACTATGCTCATTGAATAGGCTGGATCTCTACAGCACAAGCTGTTAGGAAAGGAAGCAGAAACATCCTCAGGAACTGATGCAAGGTTTCTAACAATTCCTGAGCCACTCAGCTATTTAATGAAAGTTATATAAAACTCTATTCACAATACAGCATTGTACAAAACAATTGGAAAGAAGGCATTAAAACGAGTAGCTAGAAATTAAAGCAGCTGTTCCCAGACAATGCTTGCATCTCAGAGGGAGTCATGAACTCTCAACAAAACTTCATCACAAAATCAGCTTGCACGCCTGAAGTGGGGCCCTGTAAAAATTTTAAGATCATGTAGTAAAGTTTAGACCTTTACTTCAGACCTTTAGAGCACCCAGTCAGCTGAATTCGGTACGAACTTAGAATTTTTCAGACTTCTGAGTAATTTTATCAGAAAAAATTATGCTAAAAATCATCATACTGGTTCAAATCAGAGATTTAGAAGTTTTACTCTAAATCTGTACCATGGCAACTGCACATATCAATTGGCATACACAAAATTAAAGGATATTCTTTCATAAGATTCACAGCCCTCAGGTTTACAAACCAATAAACTGAACGAAAGAAATAAAAGAAATCATTAATCTCTATATTAAAGGAGCTTTACAAACTCCACCAAAGAACCCAAAGGACTTTGACTGTGAGGTGGCTGCTTTTAAAACAGAAAATGAGTGTGAAACTTTTTCTTAAAATTATCTAGCCCTAAATCCAACTATATTTTTTCCAATTTTCCTATCATCAATCCTGCCTATCCTGCCTTCCATCTTCTGTTGTGTTCATATATTACAGCCTTTTTAAAGGTTGTAATACATGAACACAACAAATAAACAACTCTAGGCAAAGCATGTTTGTTATCAAAAGAGAATGGGTCGAAACTAAAATTACATAGATATGTATGAATTACATACATTTTTCTTCTGAAAATAAGTCTTCTGAAAACTGAAATTGTACTTCAGGCGTTTCTGATAACCATTAAGTCTGCTGTTAGTTCTTACAATAGAGTAAAATAGCACAAAGCAATAAATCTTTTAAAAAATGAAATCTTTAAAAAATGGAGCAACTTAATTGCTCACAGAACTAAAGGGAAACAGATGATGCAAAACACCACAAAAAAATTAAACATTTGACAATTTTACAATGAAAAAGAAAACAGATATTTGTCTCCAGAAGCCAGCATTTTTTGTTTATGATACTTCAGCCTTAATTGCTGTTTTCTCTTCAGCCAGGACATTTAGAAACATTCCTACATTTGAACCACTTCATTTGAACTTGAGAAGCCAGCAAGATGTTTGTTTTTCCTCTTCTAATCTATGAATTAAAATGAAGTCAAAAGGATGAGACCCATAATCATAATGTCATGATTAATTTAATGAGACAAGATTTGGTTGGACTTTCTGTGCTGTGGTTTCAGATAATTACTTTATCTGAAGTAAATTTCCTTAATGCATATGTTTACAAGGGTTCCAAATATGCGACAGTAAAGGGCAGCTGAAGCTTGCTCTAGTGAGAGTGCAAAATGGCAGCAATAGATAAAGAGTAATGGAAAAATAAGGATACTGCTGCTGTAGAAGGTGACATTACATGAACTGGTGATACATGAAGTGGATTGCTGTGGTATGACTGGCCTTTTCTTAGGCTGGTCTAAACTGTCCACCTAACTAGACATTCATCCTTGTAACTAAAGGGAAAAAACAGGATTTAGAAGTTTGGCTTCACATCCAAGAAAGCCTGATCAGCTTATGCTGAACTAAACAGGGGCAGAGGAGCTGTTCTTGTCAAATCATTGCCTCTGGAAAGCAAGTGATACTTTCCAAATGTTTGATGAGTGTTTATCTAAAACTTTTGATGCCAGCTTCCTCTATTTCAGCTGTTATTCTTGTTACTAGGTGTAACCCACAAGTAAATTAGGTTAAGAAACTATGAATCACCTCGCAAGGCACTTTGATTTTCCTCTGTAGGTAAAATGGATTGTAAGGCAATCACAGGAAGTTGAGTGTGATCCACTGCCATCTACAAGATACAGATACTTTACAAAAATAACAAAACAAAGCCTAGTTCTGAAAGGAGTTTAAATAATGAAAGCTAAAAAGGCTTAATAAGAATGGGTATTGATGATGTCTCCACATCTCCTTCTGAAAATCTACTGTACGCACTTTTAGGGAAATAAAAATATTGTACATAGACATAGAGCCTAAAATCTCCCAGCAAATGCATGCAGACAGCTGGTGCCTGGAAACCTCATGATCCCCCTTTCCTCAAATTATTAGTACAATACCTGGCAAAAGTTCACCGCCAGGGAACTATGGCTAGAGACCAGGCTCTGCCAAAGTTATTTGCAGGTTCAAACATTCTTTTGCCAGCTAATCTAGATAACAGCTTGTAGCAACAGCTCAAAACTATGTAGGATTCCTGCCAGCATTTTGTGTTCCTGCTGTAGAGGATTGTTTCCAAAAAGGCAGGTTTAGCCAAGCAACAAGGCAATCACTAATCAGTTTAACATCAGTAAAGCTCAACCTTCAGATTAGTTTCTCGGACCTGTTCTTGTCCTAATGCCAGTCAACATCCCCTCTTCCATCCAGATGAATCTTCAAAGAACCGGTCTACAGTTAGAAATGTGACCAAAAAATAGAAACTTCGGGCTGGTGATCTGGATAACAGAAAACAGATATTGGAATGTTTTCTGTTTTGCCTTTCTTCACAAAATGACAGCTTCCAGCCCAGCTTTCTCTGCATCATCTGCAGAACATTCCTCCACCTAAAACTCCTCCTCTAAAGCACTTAGAGCTAGCTTATTTTCTGCATATGAATGATACACTACAGCAAACACCTCTTCTCTCTCCTGGACTATTAAATGAATATTTGCTAAAAATATCAACTGCATTAATTTTTCTTTTCTGTAAAATTTACCAAATCACAAGATCAAAACTGCATTTTTTATCCTGAAGATATAAAACAATTTTACTGAAGTACCAGGCTCTTCCTCACTGTCTCACAATGTTTCCAGTAACCTTGGAAGAACCACTCCTAGTGAGAGAGGAAACTTACTACCTCATACAGTTTTCTAATCCTTTGAGAAAGCTCAAAAGAAGGTTGCTTGCTTGAGTCCATTTCTGGTTTTTTGTTTGTTTGAGGGATTTTTTGATGTTGTGGGTTTTATTTAAGGCATAGCCCCTCACCAGTCAAAAATGAGAAAGGACAGTCAGCTTGCCTAATAACTCTTAGTG